CCCTTGGTGCAGGTCATCCAACAGGGCAACTAAGGCTGTTTCAGTCTCATAACCAGGCCTAAAACCAGATTGGAGAAGTTCTAAACAAATGTCCAATTCATATTTTTCTAGATAACTCACATCACTGATTTCCATTATGATATCCTAAGCCTCCATATTTTGGACAATCCTGTACTAGGTTTCTAGCCTTCTTGTTTTGGATGCTCTGGTAAACGTAGGTGCAACCAGTATGTACTGTAGGTTGTGAGACCAGAAGATGACGGAGGGATGAGGTTTTTGTACTTGTTAACAGCCCTCTTCCTCCGCTTTCCTGCTCATTGCTGCCAGAGTACCACAAATGCCCTTCCTCCTCTTTTTTGCTGTTGCTCTGCTTTGAGCCTAAGAGTAAGCACCTTTTCTGGCACACATGGTGGGCCTCAGCTACACTGCTTCTGGTTGAACATTCTGACAAGTAAGTTATATTTGATTAATTCGTTAAGTAGTTATTTACCACTTGTATTATTTAATGTATAGAAAGTTTGCAGAATTTGGCTTTTGGTATTGTGTAGTATAATGGTGATTTTTTTTTTTACCTCTGACTAAGATCTTTTAATGTGTATGTTTACATATCTTCCACCATACTTTCTTGAAGATTTGCTTATTTATTGTGTAGTTGGTTATGGTATTTTCATGGTTGAAAAAGGGTAAATGTATCAAACTACTTCTCTTTCTTCCTCAGACGCTATGGATTTTTCTCTTACCTGCGAGAGTTATTTGATGCGCCCCAGCCTGTAATGAGTTACCTGTGCCACCAATATAATGTTCATGAGGTCCCTGTGGGAACAGAGAAGACCAGAAATATGATCGAAAGGGTGAGGGATCTTGTATAAACACTAACACAGAGCTGCAGTATCCTTGAAAGGTGTTGACAAGACATTCTGAAAATTATTTTGTGTATTATAGACATGTACTATTAACAATGGAATTTCAGACTTTTCCATGACCTTAGTGTCACTTTTAAAATGGTTGAATTGATGTTTCAAATCTGCGTAGTGCTTTCTACAAATCAAAAATTTTAGGGCTCAGAACTGTAAAACATTTCAGGCCTAAACATTTGCAGTAGCAGACCTGACTGTGATGTCATATCCAATGCTCCCTCTAAACTGTGGAGGCTTGTGAGCAAAAATTCTTTGTGAGCTACTGGCATTAAAGCTGTGAGTGAGTGATTTGGCTGCTGCATAAATTAGTTTGCTCTGGAGCTATCCTCCCCGAGCGAAGACAAAAATGTGTGAGCCAGAGGCTAAAAAACTGAACCGGCTCACACTGACTCAGCTTAGAGGGAACAGTGGTCATGGCTATGATGTTGTACTGGCATCTCTGTGGGCTCAACCATTCTTTTCATTTTTAGATTGGCACGGTATTATTTATGTAAAATCAGTGTGCATATGTATAAACTTACTGCTAAGTAATGACTAAGACGCTTCTTCCTCTAGTTTCATCTCCATTTCCTAAAGCAACACTAGTAATGCTTAAAAGGAAGTTGTAATATTTCTAATGAGCCAGCCATGTAATATTTAATCTTTCAGAGCTGATCCCCATTTGAATTTTGTAAATGAGGGGGTTGTAAATTTTCCAACTTCATTGTTCTAGTCAGTTCTTGTAGTACATATTATAGGCAATGCTGCAAACATGGACGCTCTCTTGGAGTCCTAAAAGACAGTATAACTTGGTCCTGCACTCATGATATTCTGTGATGTGAGATTTGAGGTAGAGTATGTTGCAGTTACTAGATAATTTATGTCCCTCCCCAACACCTATAAGAATCTTAGTTGCCTTACAAGCATAATTTTGAAAAAAAGATTATAATATTAAAAGCAATACATCACAGTGTTTTAAAACAATAACAGAATGCTATTGTAATGACACAAAGAAATAATGACAGACCAGCAACATTAAAAAAAACCCAGACCATCAAATGAAATGATAATGATAATAAGCAGCCTGATATGTAAGAGATTCAAATCACTTTCGTGAACAGGATAGTTTTTAGCTGTCCACAGGCCCTCTCATGGAAGGGCACTCCAAAACTGTGGAGTCATTATTGATAAGGCCAGCTCTCTTTTAACTATTCACCATACCTCAAAGCAGCAGAGGCAAACTGAGAAAGATACCTGACAGGGACTTTAGTGTTGGCTTAGCCCTAGTTCTATATGGGAACAGGCAGATAATTTAAATCTTTAAAGGTCAAAACCAACAAAGATGATATAAAATAAGAAACACAAATGGTAAGGAATCGCCAAGAGCAACAATCTGGCAGCTGCATTCTGGAACAGTTGTAGGTTCCAATCACACTCCGTTAGTCCCATGTACAGCGTACTACAGTAGTCTGCTCTGGATGTTGCTAAGGCATGAGTAACCATGTCCAGATCCTGCATGTCTAGGAGAGGGACATCTCCATTGATGCTAGAATCACTGGCCACAACTGGATCCAGTATGATTCCTACAGTACTATCCTATGTGAAGTTACTCCAGAATAAGCCCTGTGAAACTGTTTGGCTTAGACTGGATAAATTCCAGGCAAGGTTGTACTGCTCAGCTGTAGACCTGATATGGTGTACTTGTCCTATTCCCTCCCTCACACACAGCTTTTTCCCTCTATTTTTTTTTCATTCCCTTTCTGGCTGCACAGCCCCTTTATCTGTTTTCTTATTTGAAGGTTTATGGCTGTCCCACCCTGTCAAATTATTATATTTTGATGCTGGCTCAGCCCAGAACTTTAGGAAAGAGATGAGATCACCTCCTTAACTTATACTTCTGAAAATGGCACCCAAGAGGCTTTTTGACAGTTCAAAAATAAAATATTTTATTCAGTGTAGCAGGGGAAAGGTCAGGTGGAAGGGGTAAAATGTCTGAGGTGAATCAATAATAACTCTGAGGTAACTTAGTAATTTCACAAACTTCCGTTAATATGTTTCCAGCAAGTAAGAGTTTTAAGCTTTTCACACACTTAGAATCTTTGAGATGAGAGACTTTGGATTCAGTGTCTCCTAGACACTCTTGTGTAAGTTCTTAACTGGCTTTTCATGTTTCAGAAGGCAGAGGTACACCACCAAGTATCCAAATCCCTTCTCTAAATAAAACAGGGATCACTTCACTATTTAGAACTATCTCTCTTTTCAACTGAGCAGGGAATTACTTCTCTCAACTAGAAGCTCTGTCCCCATTTCTGGCCCAAATGGGGTCATCAGCGATCCTCCCATTCCTCCTTGCCAACCTTCCCAGTCCTCAGTCAGTGCTAAACTGAGTTCTCTTCAGTAGTCAGTTCCCAACTCTTTCTTCTCAACTGATGCTATCCAATGAATTCCCTTTGAGCAGCCTGTCACTCAAAGTCTCTGTGAGGTGATAACCCTTCACAGTCTGTCACATGTTTATACAGTACTTACGAGCTTTCAAAGCACAGTCCATTACACCTGGGTTTTCAGAGGAGGTGAAATTTCATGTAACAATGGCATAATACCTGCTTCCAGTTCAGTCCATGTTTCTGGCTAACAGCACCTCTGTTTTACCTAGCTTAAGCGCTAATTTTCCCATATGTTGTTGAAGTAATTTTCCCACTTTCTTGTCCTGAGAGATTATTTTAAATTTATTTAATGAAGTGTTTGCACTGTAATCTGACAAAGCAGTTGAAAAAAACACTTAGGAAATCTAATGTGCTAATTCCATCTTCTAAATGCAGTGGTATTCTTATTTGTTATTTTTTCCTGATTTCAGAACTGCTTCATTTAATTGTACTTCGGTCTCTCTCTCTCTCTCTTTTTGCTCAGGTCATAAATGAAACCAAACTGAGGCAAATCTACACTGCAGAAGAAAGATATGCAGTGAAAGTGTCTTCTTACACAAATCAAACTGTTTCTAGTAACACGTCATTAAGGGCAGCACAGTTTCTGAATGTCACCGTGGACACAGCCAAAAAAAGGCAGTTGGAAAGTCAACTCCAGGTAAGTTGGTTTATGGTGGCTTTTCAGAGGTAGTTGTCTGTGGTTTGAAATTTTGGAAGCTGTTAATCCAGTAAATCTGAACAATTCTGATTTAACACCTGTCTAACTCAGTGTTTTCCACTGTACAACTGTAATTTGAAGTGCACTTGTAACCAAACTAGACATGATGTCTGGAGATTCATGAATTAATCTTCTCCAGGTTGTTGTGTTTTTTTTTGGGTAGGTATGACTAGCAGCCACAGGGTGATCCAATCTGGATTTGGGGGGAGGCTTAACTGTCCCTTCACCATGTTACTTTTCTAACCCCAGAACTGGTATTTGCTACATTGGGAGAAATACATAGGCTTGTGTTGTGCCTGTGTTTTCAAAAATGCTGCAGAACAGATAGCAGTTATAGTGGGGGACTGAGGTCTGGAAAACATTGAACTCCCTTGCCCCTGCATCACAATTAAGGTAGCCTGGCCATAGCCCGGAACCCCTCGGAGCAATTGGGGGGCAGGTTCTTGCATGCTAGTATCACACCTATGTCACTTCTGGTTTTACCATTTTTGCAGAATGCTAGAGCGTCCTGTGTCACTTCCAGTTTAGGTGGGACATTCACATGCCAGACCTTTCCTCTCTCCCTCCCCCAGTTTTTCC